TGACCCCATAAAAAATGGGAAAAAGGCAGGAAAAGGCAGGAAAAATGGGAAAAATTCCCAAAAAAAGCGGAATTTTGGGATTTTACCCCCGGGAAGTTTCTCCTTCTCCCCAGTTGACAGCCCCAGCTCTTTCTGCATGGGGCCACCACAGTGACCCCATAAAAAATAGCAAAAAAGGCAGGAAAAGGGGTGGGAAAATGGGATGGGAAAACGGGAAAAATTCCCAAAAAAAGCGGAATTTTGGGATTTTACCCCCAGGAAGTTTCTCCTTTTCCCCAGTTGACAGCCCCAGCTGCTCGGCCAGTGGCCCCAATGACCCCAAATGTCCCTAATCCCTATGACCCCATACGGAAATGGGAAAAAGGCAGGAAAAGAGGTAGAAAAATGGGGAAAATTCCCAAAAAAAGCGAAATTTTGGGATTTTACCCCCGGGAAGTTTCTCCTTTTCCCCAGTTGACAGCCCCAGCTGCTCAGCCAGCTCCTTTTGCATGGGGCCACCACAATGAACCCATAGAAAACAGGAAAAATGCAGGGAAAGGGTGGGAAAATGGGATGGGAAAATGGGAAAAATTCCCAAAAAAAGCGGAATTTCAGGATTTTACCCCCTGGGAAGTTTCTCCTTCTCCCCCGTGGACAGCCCCAGCTGCTCGGCCAGTGACCCCAATGACCCCAAATGTCCCCAAACAACAACACCACATAAAAACATGGGAAAAAGGCAGGAAAAACACAGGGAAAAGGGGTGGGAAAATGGTAAAAATTCCCAAAAAAAGCGGAATTTCAGGATTTTACCCCCGGAAAGTTTCTCTTTCTCCCCAGTTGACAGCCCCAGCTGCTCGGCCAGCTCTTTCTGCATGGGGCCACCACAACCCAATGTCCCCAAATGTCCCAAAACAACGACACCACATAAAAACACGGGGAAAAAGGCAGGAAAAACAGGAAAAATTCCCAAAAAAAGCCAAATTTCAGGATTTTACTCCCGGGAAGTTTCTCTTTCTCCCCAGTTGACAGCCCCAGCTGCTCGGCCAGCTCTTTCTGCATGGGGCCACCACAGTGACCCCATAAAAAATGGGAAAAAGGCAGGAAAAGGGCAGAAAAAACGCAATAAAAGGGGTAGAAAAGTGGTAAAAATTCCCCAAAAAAGCGGAATTTTGGGATTTTACCCCCGGGAAGTTTCTCCTTTTCCCCGGTTGACAGCCCCAGCTGTTCAGCCAGCTCTTTCTGCACGGGACCACCACAATGACAATGACCCCATAGAAAAACGGGAAAAATGCAGGGAAAGGGTGGGAAAATGGGATGGGAAAATGGGAAAAATTCCCAAAAAAAGCGGAATTTTGGGATTTTACCCCCGGGAAGTTTCTCTTTTTCCCCTGTGGACAGCCCCAGCTCTTTCTGCATGGGGCCACCACAATGACCCCATAAAAAATAGCAAAAAATGCAGGAAAAGGGGTGGGAAAATGGGGAAAATGGGATGGGAAAATGGGAAAAATTCCCAAAAAAAGCGGAATTTTGGGATTTTACCCCCGGGAAGTTTCTCCTTTTCCCCAGTTGACAGCCCCAGCTGCTCGGCCAGTGGCCCCAATGACCCCAAATGTCCCCAAAACAACGACACCACATAAAAACAGGGGGGAAAAAGGCAGGAAAAACACAGGGAAAAGGGGTAGAAAAACAGGAAAAATTCCCAAAAAAAGCGGAATTTTGGGATTTTACCCCCAGGAAGTTTCTCTTTCTCCCCAGTTGACAGCCCCAGCTGCTCAGCCAGCTCTTTCTGCATGGGGCCCACAATGAACCCATAGAAAAACAGGAAAAAGGCAGGAAAAACACAGGGAAAAGGGATGGGAAAATGGGAAAAATTCCCCAAAAAAGCGGAATTTTGGGATTTTACCCCCGGGAAGTTTCTCTTTCTCCCCCGTGGACAGCCCCAGCTGCTCAGCCAGCTCTTTCTGCATGGGGCCCAGCGTGTCCTTGTAGGGGCAGCGCGTGGTCCAGTGGTCCCCTTTGCAGATGCGGCAGCTGACGATCTTCTGCCCCTTCAGCTTGTTCATGGGGTCCTCCTCCTCCTGGCAGTTCAGGTCCTGGGGACACAGGGGACATTGGGGACATTGGGGACACTCTGGGGACATTGGGGACATTCTGGGGACACACCTGGGGGTGGCTGGGAACACTCTGGGGACAGCTGGGGACACTGGGGACAGATGGGGACACATCTGGGGACACTCTGGGGACACCGGGGGATGGCCTGGGAGGGCTGGGGACACCCTGGGGACACCAAAAATACACGTGGGGATGGCTGGGGACACCCCTGGGGACAGCTGGGGACACACCTGGGATGGCTGGGGACAGATGGGGACAGATGGGGACACTCTGGGGACATTAGGGACACCCTGGGGACAGCCTGGGGATGGCTGGGGACACTCTGGGGACAGCTGGGGACACACCTGGGGACAGCTGGGGGCACCTGGGGACACCAAAAATACACCTGGGGACACTCTGGGGACACACCTGGGGACACCTGGGGACAGAGGGGACACATGGGGACACAGGGGGACACACCTGGGGACACCTGGGGACAGAGGGAACAGATGGGGACACTCTGGGGGTGGCTGGGGAGGGTTGGGGACACACCTGGGGACAGCTGGGGACACTGGGGACAGCTGGAATACACCTGAGATACACCAAAAATACACCTGGGGACACCTGGGGACAGTTGGGGATGGCTGGGGACACACCTGGGGACATTGGGGACACACCTGGGGACAGCTGGGGGCACCCTGGGGATACCCTGGGGACACTCTGGGGACACTCCCGGGGATGGCTGGGGATGGCCTGGGAGGGCTGGGGACACTCTGGGGACACATGGGGACACACCTGGGGGTGGCTGGGGACACCTGGGGACACCAAAAATACACATGGGGATACCTGGGGACATTGGGGACACACCTGGGGACAGCTGGGGATGGCCTGGGAGGGCTGGGGATGGTTGGGGACACACCTGGGGACACCAAAAATACACCTGGGGATACCTGGGGACACCTGGGGACAGCTGGGGACACAGGGGACATTGGGGACACTCTGGGGACACTCTGGGGACAGATGGGGACATTGGGGACAGATGGGGACAAATGGGGACAC